TAATTTAAATAATTACTTATGGGTTGAAGTCAAATTAACATTAACATTAGAACTAAAGTCAGTCAAAATTGGACGTGCACGGATCAGAATCTAATCAATACACCATTTTCCCAGCTCTGTAATGAAAAGGATATCAAGATTAGGTACATTACAGGAGTGATAAAACATCCAAACATGCACACTTATCTTATTCTAGTAGAGATTAGAGGACAGGTATAATGTTGTGAACTAAATGATCAAGTTATTTTATTTATTTTATCTTATGTACCACATTTAATTTAATAATTAATCTTAAATTACTAATAACTTTAAAGAAGGCAACAATTTACAATGTGGATAAGGTGAATACTTATCCAAAGTGTGTGTGTGTGTGTGTGTGTGTGTGTGTGTGTGTGTGTGTGTGTGTGTGTGTGTGTGTGTGTGTGTGTGTGTGTGGGTGTGTGTGTGTGTGTGTGTGTGTGTGTGTGCGCGTGTGTGCGCGTGCGGGTGTGTGTGTGGGTGTGTGTGTGGGTGTGTGAACAGCTTGTCTGCCCAAGGTTAAAACATTTGGGACAGCAGTGAGAATGTTATGAGAAACAATTTGTTGCTTAGACTGAACTCGAAGGAAGCTAGACTGGAACATTTAAAATAAATCAAAACACTTGTACATTAATTAAATACATTTGACATTTAGCTTGAGCTGGGTTCAATACTTTCTTTATGGTATTTAAATTGGGCTCAAGTAGAACCTTTACATGGATTTGGCTTGCAACACAAAGTGATACCGATCTCTGTCTGTTATGATTTGAAAGTCTCATGATTTAAAGTGTAGGCCTGTGAAGGAGAGGCCCTTGGAAAACAACATCTATTTTTTTTTTAACTGTAATTACTTATTGTAAAGAGATTGCAACATTATACTTTTTAAAGAATTGCTCAATTCATTTAACACATTTATTATGCACACTGTAATGAAAACGTCAACAAATATATTGATCCTGGCTTAACCAGCGACCTTTACTCTTTTGTTCATAAGCTCGGTTTCAGAAAACTTGTCAGTAGTTTAACAACTATTATAATTGTAGTAATGTCTATGGAGACCAATTGGTTGATACGAGAAATCATTTGAAGCAGTTTAATAAAGAATGTTAAACTATATTTAAAACTGTAATTAAAACTTCAACTTATATTAATTATCTGATTCCAGTGGCCAGTTGGAATAGATAATCAACAAAGTTTCCATTTTGCAGCAACAGCGCAAAATGTTTCAACAATAATCAGCTTTGTTTCGGAATGTGTTCAATACATTACGTTTTTTTTTTTCATTATTACCATACAATACATAGATTTAAGAATAAATGAAACAAATAATACAACATTGACCTAAAACAGCAGACAGATTTTGCAACCCTGACCTCAGGCAGGTTTTTACGACCAGCAGTGATGCCTCTGAGGGTCTCGGGTGCAGGACGGGGCATAGGGTTTATAAAAGGTCACAAACATATCTTAACATAACAGCAATACAATTTAAAATGTATTCTTAAAGTAATATAATCTTATTTTCTTCTTACACCTACAGCGCACACCCTGAACAGTGTGCTTCGTGTTTACATTTTCCTCTGCACACTCAGATGCAGGACATAAAAACACTCTTTTGCTATTTATTTTCATTTTGCAGCACATCTATACTACCAGAATTTTGCTTTACATCTATATATTGTTTATTTTTCTCAAGTCATTTACTTTTGGTGAGTTAACTAAAGCTTAATTTATTTTACCCTGGCTATGGACTGATTCATTATTAGTTGTTACAAAACATACACAAGACGGCGGTTAGACAAACCAATATAGACCCCCGATACAAACAATCAGACAAACAAACATGAACTCGTAATAAACACCAGCGTGACAGCAAAGTTCATCCAGCTCAATTTAGTCCGAATTAAAGAGGTTTCAGAGGGGGTAGGGAATTATCTCTCAGTGGGGCGCGCTTCCACCCTTGTATACAAGTCCTAGATCGGTGCATGAAGACCGTCCAAGAGCGATAACTAGCTTATCCTCTTGCGACCCCACTACTCTATTCTAGTGGCGCTATGCCCCCCCGATCAGGAGCGCATAGACTTTTTTCCGCTACCCTTTCTCTCCAAAACAGCACAGTTAACTGTAGTCCTACACGACCAGCCTATACACCTGCCATCATGTTCATCACAACGATGAAACACAGTTTTGTTCTACACTCGCTTGCCACTGCCCACCCGTGATCAATTAGCCTATAATTTTATGTATGCACCCCAGACCGGCACCAGTTCCTCCAGCAATGTAGAGAACTGTGGCGCATCAGGTAATGCACGCACCTCGCGCTGCCAGCACGTCGAAAACGGCCACAAACCACGAGAGTGCTTTTAAACCATCTCGTTTTTAATAGAGACGGCGGTGGTGTGAGTTAAAGCTATAGACAAAAGCTGTGACTTTCTCCCTCTTAGTGCACTTCACCAGCCACGCAGATACGGGGAGGTATTTTACACACACCCCCCGGAGCCGCAGCTGGAGCCGTGTTTTTTTTAGAGGCGATAGGGGTAATATCTCTGGCTGCTTGTGTTAACTGCTAGTGTTGGCCGCTGAAACCCCCAGAAATTCGGCGATTTGTTCACTACAAATCTCTATTTTGCTTTCACACAGAAGTTCCACTTTACTGATGCCCTCATTAAGGTCTCTTTAAACACATCTGTGTATGCCTGTATGGCACATACGTCCCGAGCAGCACACACAGAGGAAATCAGCCAGGACAGAGTCCCCAGACACTGATCCCCTGGGATTACTAGCCCCAAATGTTCATTAACCAAAACGAAACACAGCCGCTCAGCTTCACAGATAATTTTAGGATACCGTCAATCACAGATTCTGGTAAGGCAATGTCCAAATGTAGATTTGAAATTACACTTACCAGTTCTGAAGATTTGTTGGTATCCTGCCGACAACGCCAATTTGTGGGGGAAACTTCTGTGTAGCAATGCATTGGGAGTCACCGACTCAGGAAGGAGACACGGTGAGAGTTGGAGCTTTTGATGTCAAACACTGATGGGTTTATTCAGAGTATCGGCCGGAGGATTCACATCACAAGTCAAAGAGTCAGAGGTTCTGACTTCACGGTAGAGTTGCCACGTCAATTCTGAAGAGCCTCTCTCTATGCTAGACCTTTTAACTGGTTCACAGAGAGTAATCAACATCTCTGAAGGAGTAGACTAAACAGCTGGGAACACTGAACCACTTGCGTCCGACACTCATGGCCTCAAAGATTTCACACCTTAGAGTCCACAAACACCGATAAAGAAGTGCCTCAGCGTTCTCACAACAATTACCATTCGTGCCAGACAAGTTGACCGGTCACAAACTGGTAACAACAACACATATGGCACCAATGCCTTTCCTTAAAGGAGATAACAGACGTCAGAGTAGATCATAAAACGTCACAGAGCAAAAGGTTAGATATCTAGAAGAATTATTCCTTAACACAGATGTAAGAGGTTTATCTCTCATTCAGAACAATAAAAATGCTCTCCTCTCACTGATTACTGCACATCACCATGGAAACCTTTGATCACTGGACACGTCGTTAGCTCAAATATAAACACCTGTGTCATGGAACACGATGATGTCATAACTCCAACTGACATGCTCAGAGCAGCAGATTTCAGATAATGGTTAACACAGCTCTACATCAAATCTGATGTTACGTAATGTGGTGTTACAATGGCAACGCATCCCTCGCCATAAAACAGCAGCAGACTTCAGATAATGGTTAATGGTCCTGCCCTCACCAGCTCTACGTCAATTATGGGGTGTCTTCATATGCCGTTTCCATGGAAACGCATCCCTCGCCATAAACACGATGTCGCTGTAACTCCAATGGACACGGTCCGATCGTCCCCCAAACTTCGCTTGTATATCACCGGTCCATGCCTCAACAGCTTTACACCAAATCTGAGATCTCACCATAGGCTGTTACCATGGAAACGCATCCCTCGCCATAAAACACGATGTCGCTGTAGCTCCAATGGACACGGTCCGGTCGTCCCACAATCTTCACCTGTATATCACCTCCCCATGCCTCAACAGCTCTACGTCAATTATGACATCTCACCATATGCCGTTTCCATGGAAACGCATCCCTCGCCATAAAACACGATGTTGTCGTAACGCCTATGAAAAGGGTCAAAACAGCACCAGACTTCAGATATTGGTTAACGGTCCAGCCCTCAACAGCTCTACGTCAATTATGGGGCGTTATCATATGCCGTTTCCATGGAAACGCATCCCTCGCCATAAAAGACGATGTCGCTATAACTCCTATGAAAATGTTCAAAAAGTGTGTGCTAACAGTCCAGCCGTGAAGACATCTACGGGACAGTTTTGAGATTTCTTAAATTGTCGTTGCCATGGCAACACAATGCTCACCATGAAACACGGTTTTCTCATAACCTCAGTGAAAATGCTCCAAACGGCCCAAAACTTCACAGGTTTGGTAACGATGCAGCCATCAACGCATCTAAGCGTATTATGGGATGTCATCAAATGCCGTTGGAATGGCGACAGATCATTCGCCATCAAGTCAGTTCAAAAGTTTGCAGTTCAAATATTCTGCTGCTTTTCCAAGCCTTTTTACTTTATTTTCTTCTCTCATCACACATTCAAGCCCCCAGTGTTCATGTATTTTTATATAAGTGACGAATGGTTACGGTGCCGCGGTGGGTTACATCACAGGGCTGACGCTAAGGATTTTGTTAGGGGAGAACAATGTAGGTCTTCCTGTGATTCTTCATCTTCCTGGTTGCACATTGGAAGATGGCGTCTATGTCCAGAAGTCTCCTATCAGGACGGTCACCTTGCTCTCCACTTTGGTGACCATCTTAGTTTTTTCCTCATTGGCTTCGTTCGTCTTCAATCGTGGCTTGTTGCCTGAGAGGTGGGACGTTTTCAAAGTAAAACGTAATGTCACTGTGTCACCCGCGGATCCCGTCACTCAGAATCTCAAAGAAGAAGTTGGGAGTGATGCCGAGTGTGACGAGAACCGACATGCAGTGGCCTTACAGCCAATGCTGCAGACTGGATCGTAATCTTCTTTCCTTTTGAAAAGCTGCTGCCCTGAAGAGTATTATGTTCATGATCAGGGTCCAGCAGATCAGCCAAGTCTTACAAGTCTTACATTCAGTTTTTGTTATTGAAGGTATAGAAAGGCCCTAAAGATCTCCTATCATGCTATTTTTAGGCGTATATTATGGGTCTCAGATATATGAAAATATACTCCTCAAAATACCAAACAGATCATGCATTTTAGACATCCCTCATATCTAGGGTTGCAAAGGGGCGGACATTTTCCGGTAAATTTACGGAAAGTTTACGGTATATTTCCATGGGAAGTTAAGCTGGGGAATTCTGGAAATATTCCATATTTGAAATAAATTAAAGTGGACCTATCATGCTATATTTTAATAATATAGTGTAGGACCATACCTACAGATGGGGCATCTTATTTCGGACGCCAGCATACAGCTTCCTGCCTACTACCAGCCAGTTACCTGCCTAAGACCTGTCAAAGACCAGTATGTGGGAATGTTAAGCCCTCCCACTATTTTCCAATTTCAGGGTTTAACCAGGAGATGGCGCTATATATTAAATAACTATGGCCAAACTAAGACTTAGTTTTTCACAAGAGAAAATGCAGATATTATATAAAAAACTAAAGTTAAAATCTTGTTTTTAATGCCCCAAGAGCAATAAATCACCGACCCCCCTCTGAGTGAATACCTGTTAACTTAACATCTTGTCACAAGCTTTTTGGAAGCATGTTCAAAGTATCAATAATGTGTAACATTCCCCAGATATTTTAGACACTCTTCCTTACATTTTTAACAAAACAATAACATAAATTGCAAAATAATTACTTTTTTTCACTCCTTTCACTTTTTGATTCTCTTCCAATCTGAGAAAGTCCTTTCATAACGGAGACCTCTATCATCAAGTACTATATATAAATTATATATTACACATTGTCACAAGCTTTTTGGAAGAAAAGACTGACCCAAGAGACCTGAAGTTGACTAATTACAGGCCTCAATAAAGTTTATACATTGATTTAGTTGACAGTCCAGTTTAGCTTTCCTGTGGCATTATGTATTTGTGATTCACTGAATATTTTGTACAACCCAACAGGAAAAGCTAAACAAACATTATGAGGAAAACAATTTGTCTCCCTCTGTTTGCATCTCTGTCTGTCTTAGTCTACTGTATATGTCAGTCTTTCTGTCTCTTTCTCCTTCTCTCTCTCTCTCACCATCTAATAACTCTAAAATCAAATTGCATTACTCTCCACTTTACTGGTCATTTGGTACCTTCAGGACTGCCTCTTCCGCTGGCCAAAGGAGAACATGACTAATGACCCATGATGAATTAATTGAATCATTCCTCTCTGGCCAAATCATTCTGACAATGTGACCACTAAATTCCATAATTGCTCAGAATGGCACCCCTAATTATGTTTGAGTGTTACTGGTGCTTCTAGGTGGACTGGGTGAGGGCAGTGGGTGCATTTCTGAACTCTTATTTAAACATCACCAGAGATATTGTTTGATGGAATCTTCCTTTATTTTATGTATCACCATATATGTGTATGTATGCCTAATTAATGTCTGGGACATGGATAACTAATGCCACACGAACAACACAATATATTTGGCTGTCCTTCATAGATTAAAACCAATTACATGATGAAGGGTTGGACATCTAATCCTGTTGGATATGTTCTATCCAGATATATACCCCAAAACAGCATTCATTTATCAAAACATACATTGTTTCCTTGGTATGTTGAAGGTAAGTGCACGCTGACATGCATGAGACAGTAATGTGATACATTTGGTGTCCCTTTGTCCAAGAAAAGCAACAAAGCAACCGACTAACATCAGAGCAGAGATAAAATAGAGCCTGAAAACACCCAGGTAATTATCAAGGAACCTATTTAAAAAAAAAAGAAAATCTTAGAATAATGCTGACTGTTTTGAATGGCAAATGTTGTCAGCCATCATGACTGCATCTCCTCTGAGAGATAGACATTGGGTCGCAGGAACAGCACCTAAGGCTATGATTATGACACATTTTAAATAAATAATGAAGCAGGAGGCAAGATTGACTGCTGTTATACTGACAACCTTAATCCCAACTGAACAGTATTTAACATCAGTTAAGTTTTCAGCTTATGGTTGTTACCCAGTAGTGGCTGGTGGCGAGTTATACTGTATGCATAATGAACACAAAGTGAATCTCTTGAGTTGTTGTTGTTGTTGCTATATTCATGCAATCCATGCTTCAGAGTTATCGGCCAGATCAAAAAAGTGCTTTATGAATGGCCACATGGTGTTGCTATACATACATACATGTCTTTAAATATGCATGTCAGATCATCACCCTTAGCTATTTCAATTACCTCTCAAACACGTTGACCGGCGAAAAACTCTGCCCGGTTCACCGACCCCCCTCTGAGTGAATACCTGTTAACTTCACAACTTGTCACAAGCTTTTTGGAAGAAAAGACTGACCCAAGATATCTTGGTTTGATTTGGAGAAGGCTTTTAAAGCCTATTGTATACTAACTCTTCCCGTCAAGAATATGAATAGAACTTAGATAGATCACTTTACATTTCTGCGAATGAATAGCTTAGCTACTTGGCACTAAGAGTACAGATATGTCTACCCTTTCTTTTCAGAGTGTAATATCTGCATTTTCTCTTTTGGTTTGAATAGGAGAAGGGCAATGGTTATCGATGGTGCTTTTAAAGCCTATTGTATACTAACTGTGTGATTTATATTGCTTTTCAAATGCATATAAGCCCCCCATTTACACTGCACTTCCCGTCAAGAATATGAATAGCACTTAGTTAGATCACTTTACAGATCAGGTTGGACCAGCCCTGTCGCTACTCTCTGCAGGTCCGCTCCATTTCCTACTGCAGATCAAAAAAAGCTAAAAATATGTATTTCTTAATAAACTAAATAGGCCACCATTGGTAGCAGTTCTCATTATATACTTCTCAGTAACTGCTCCCCTTAAATTAAATGTATTCTGTAGATAAATGTAAACGTTCACCATCCCCCACCCGCCTACTGTATGTTGCTTTTTGACATGTAAATGGATAACTACCCCCCTCTGAGTGAATACCTGTTGTACCTGTCTGGGGCTAAGCCCATAGGACGATGCTCTGATGTCATCACCCTCGCACATTTGTCATATTTTTACAAAAAACGATGTTAACACTTTCTCGTTCTTAATATATGCTATATTTAGGGTCGATATGTGTTGAATTTACTTTAAAATAGCAGATCACTGTGATTCGGCTTAGTGAACGTGTGTCTCTTCTCCGCGGCTACTCCGTGCAGAGAGGCCCCCCCCCCCGTTGACAATTCACGAGCGTCTAACTCTCTCCCCCCCCCCCCATCGCACCTTCTAACAGAACCCCCCCACATATCAAATCCCAATTTAACTGCTCTGGAGCAGAAATGAAAGAGTTTTAAAAATCTTTTTAAAAGATTTTTGAAATCAGATGAAAACAAACTGTAACGGACCCATATTATTCATATGCTGAGTCATAAAGACTTTATTTAAAATAAACATTTATAACTAGTTTAGGTTGTTTGAGAGGTAATTGAAATAGCTAAGGGTGATGATCTGACTTGAAGTGTGTGTTTTCCTCCTCTTGGGTCAGTCGCAGATATGGCATAGTTTGTTAAATATAGGACCATAAGATTAGGATTTATTGTAGATTAATTTGTTAAATAAAAACATGGTGATGTTTTATAATATAAGATTAGGATTTATTGTAGATTAATTTGTTAAATAAAAACATGGTGATGTTTTGTAAATGTATGATCCTATCTGAAAAAATATGAATACTCCTAAAATAAATGGTAGACATATCAAATTGTTTCCTCTTTGTATTTGTTTTATTATTTTCTCATCTGTGATGGATAAAGAAAGTAATCCAAAAGTAATCTAAAAGTAATCTGATTACTGTAACTGTATTCGGATGCTTTCAGAGCCATGTATTCAGTAATCAGTAACTGATTACATTTACAGCTGTCACTACCCGATCCGTTCGCCTGCCCGATCGGTACTGCGCATGTGCGAGATGGTCCGCCATATTGCACAACTCCGTACGGCAACCCGACTAGGACATTTGACACAGTGGCTTTTGGCAAAGCACACAAAGAAAACTAAAAAAAACGAGAGAGATGAGTTATTACATTATTGTTATTACAACGTGACTTCACCCATTATTTAACAACTATTTTAATTGGGTTCTTTTATTTGGGGTTAAGTACATTGTCAGAATAAGTGAGAAATGGATTTAACTTCTGTTAGACAGCTATCATACTGAATACATATGTATGCAAAAATGTATGGCATTAATATCCTAATAAGACTCACCTAATTAACTAACAACTACAGTGGCGAGCCGTGAGCTTTATACCTAGGCCCTCTGACCCCCACCCCTTCCTTCGAAAAAAAGACGTTATTACGTCACAGCGTATACTTCAGCGGAATATCAAAACAACGGCCCAGGGTGCAAAACACATCAATGACAGCGACCCTCTACCACACAAAACAACACCTGTGAACCCAATTTGTGTTCTTTGACATTGAAAATGATATTGCATTGTGTTTGTTACTTTCATTGCAGTTGTATGTCTTAAGTGTAATTTGGCATGCTTTTATTTTGAAGGCGAGTTCACGCTGTTGACAGGAAGTTGTTGTTGCTATGGAAACAAGAAAAGTTTCACAGCGGGCGGAACTCGTCATAAAGTCCGCGATAATAAAACCCACCCATTTAGAGGGAAGATATGATTGGTCAATTGTACTGTCATTTGACATTACTCTCTCGTTTAGTTACTATAGCGGGCCCTCTGTGAATCGCAGAGAGGCCCGCTATAGTAACTGACATTCAAACAGAGACTGAACAGGCAGATTCGAAGGATTTATTTCTTTGGAAATGTTATTTTATTAAATCAAGTTTTTTTTCGGTAAAACTAATGAAAAATATAACAAAAATAATATTAAAAAAAT